AAAAGAGAGGCAAATCAAGAAACAGACAAGATCTTAACTCTAGAGAACAAATTGATGGTTACCAGAGGGGGAGGTGGGTTGGAGAGATGGGTGCAATAGGTGATGGGGATCAAGGACGGCACTGTGGATGAGCACAAGGTTTTGTATGGAAGTGTTGGATCACTATATTGAACACCTGAAACTAATATTACATTGTATGTTAACTCACTGGAATTTAAATAAAACTTTAAAAAAACCTTGTGTAGTTAAATTAAGGACAGACAAAACGGGCTTTAAGGCAAGAAGCATTTTTAGAGGTACAAACGGACATTCTTAATAATAATCTACCAGGAAGATAATATACTTAGGAAGATAATATACTTAGATAATCTATCAGGAAGTTAAAATAATTCTGTATCTGTACATATTAATAATATACCTTCAAAATACATAAAGCAAAAATTGATAAAAATAGACAAGCCAAATCTATAGCTGTATTAATAGACATTAACCTCTCTAAATAGTGTTTAAAACAGCAGACACAAAAATCAGAAAATACAAAGGAAATCTGAACAACGCAATTAACAAATGTGACCTATGTGAAACAAAATAAATGTGACGTGCACATTCTTGAGGGTGCACATAGATCATTTATGAAAGTAGACCACAGGCTTAGCATAATGAAAGTCTCACGAATTTCTAAAAGTTAAAATTGTTCAGAGTATGCTCTCTGATATAGTGAAATTAGACTAGAAATCAATTAAAAACTAACTAGAGTCACTAGCAGTTTGGAAATGAAATACATTAAGATGGATCCAATTATAACATCATTCTCATTCACATTTCACTAAGCCTTCTTTAGTGGGTAAGGAGAGATGGAATTACAGAGAGTGACTCAAGAGTTACTAGTAACTTGAACTCAGTTTTATTTGTACCATAGCTCGAAATCCAGACATCTCCATGGAAGGGCAGGCTCAACATTTAACACATATTTATTGAGAATCTTTCATGTGTCAGGCGCTGTTTGAGCTGTTGAAAAGATAAAGTCTCTATAATTAGTGAGTTTATGTCCAAATACACAAATGAGATAATTTGATAGATTCAGTGCTATGGGAAAAATAAAATAAAACTGGGTATTGGAAAAGTGTAACTGTAGAAGGGAAGGGATATTACTTCAGAGAGATCTGTCAGGGAAGCCTTTCTGAGGTGGTAAGACTTCAGTGCTAAGAAGGCCCCTGCCATATTACCTAAGCAAATATGAGGAAGAATTAACAACATGGAGACCCTAGGCATAGACAAGATTGGCTTCTAGGAATCATGTGACCAGAACAGTGAGTGAAGTATAGATTAAGAGAGAGCAAGGCAGAGCAAAGTCAAACATGATCTAGGTCACAATACATTATTTGGATTTATTCTAAATATTTGAAAGCCACTCGAGGGATTAAAGCAGAAAAAATATTTTGTTACATTTACATTTTTATTTATTTATTTTTTTGAGAGAGAGAAAGAGAGAGAGAGAGCACACATGCACGCTTACATGAGGGTATGGGGGAGAGGCCAGAGGGAGAGGAGAGAGGGACAGAGAGAATCTCAAGCAGACTTCCTGATGAGCATGGAGCCCAGGGTAGGGCTTGGTCTCATGACTCTGAGATCATGACCTGAACTGAAACCAAGAATCAGAAGCTTAACCGACTGAGCCACCCAGGTGCCCCAGATTTTCACTTTTAAATGATCAGGCAGATGTTTGGGGTAATAAAGCATGGCAGACTGTTATTCCAATATTACAGTTTTCCATGGAGAGAGAATGAAAGTTCTGTGATATAGTTGGACTTGTGTATATCAGGCCTATGTGCAGTATATCACCTGTGGTATGACATAAAACCACTGATAATATTTTATCTATGAAAACCCAACATTCTCTATGGCTGTAAGAACTAAATTGTCCATGTGCTGCTATTTGAGAGTTTCTATCAGTTTGGCCTACAAAACACATTTGATATTAACAAATTAAGTACGTTCATAATTTAGAATTACTGAAGCATTCCTTGTTGCAACATGAATTTTTAGCACCGATACAAATACAAAATAGCTATTTTAGGGTGAGAGATAAGCAACACAGTCAAGTAACCAAAGGCAGGAAAGACATTCTTTTAAAAAGGAGCTAAACTGCATGTTATTTGGTCATCATCAACTACATCAGGTGAATCCAGAATATAGGATTTGCAAGAAAGTCTGTTTGTTTCTTAAATACTTTTTAAGAGAACTGATTCACATGGTCTAAGCAGCGGAGTTATGAGCACAGGCACCACAGAGAAACCCTGTCTTATACAGCACAGTAAAGGCTGATATCATATACAAGGAAGTATCAGCACTGAAATGTCCAAATTAAAAAGTTGTTTCCTCATAAAAGAATGGAGGAAGAAAAAGAAGGAAGAAAACATAAAGTTACTTTTACAAGGCAGAATGTGATCAGCTATTAGTTTGAGAGCTCTCATAAGATGGTTTTTTAGAGAAGCTAACATAGAAACTAGAAACAGATTCAAAAGAACGAATGAAATGTTCCATTGTGCTTGTTTAATAAACAAATCCCTAATTATTTTTACAGTTTAATTTTCCCCCCAAATTTGGACAGGTCCAATGTGTACATGTCTAAGAGATCAGACCCGCCTATAGGTAAGAAATGGCTATACAGTGCTACCTCAGTATCTGTAAAAGTTATCATGTTTCACAAGATTCTAGAGAAAAAGATGTTTTCTAAATTTTAACAACATATACATTCTAGGCAACCTATGAAACAGAAGATATTTGCAAATGACATGTCTGATAAAGGGGTAGTATCCAAAAGATATAAAGAATTTATAAAACTCAACACCCAAAAAACAAATAATCCAATTTAAAAATGGGCAGAAAACAGACATTTTTCCAAATAAGACATATAGATGGCCAACAGACACACAAAAAGATGCTCATCATCATTTATCATCAGGGAAATGCAAATCAAAACCACAATGTGATATCATCTCACATCCATCAGAATGCCTAAATTCAAAAACACAAGAAAAAACAAGTGTTGGCGAGGATGTGGAGAAAAAGGAATATTCATGCACTGTTGGTGGGAATGCAAACTGGTACAGCCACTATGGGAAACAGTACAGAGGTTCCTTGGAAAGTTAAAAATAGAACTACTTTATGACCCAGCAATCAAACTACTGGCAATTTACCCAAATATAAGAACACTAATACAGAGGGATACATGCACCCCTGTGTTTACAGCAGCATTATTTATGATAGCCAAGATATAGAAGCAGTCCAAGTATCCATCACCTGATGAATGGATGAAGAAGATGTGGTATATATACACAATGGAATACTACTCAGCTATAAAAAAGGATGAAATCTTGCCATTTACCAGGACATGAATAGAGCTACAGAGTATGCTAAGTGAAATGTCAGTCAGAAAAAGAAAAATACTGTATGATTTCATTCATATGTGGAATTTAAGAAACAAAACAAATAATAGGAAAAAAATAAGAGAGAGAAATCAACAAATAGACTTTTCATTATAGAGAACAAACAGATGGTTACCAGAGGGAGGTAAGTGGGGGGATGGGTTAAAAAGGTGATGTTCAGGGCGCCTGGGTGGCTCAGTTGGTTAAGCGACTGCCTTCGGCTCAGGTCATGATCCTGGAGTCCCGGGATCGAATCCCACATCGGGCTCCCTGCTCAGCAGGGAGTCTGCTTCTCCCTCTGACCCTCTTCCCTCTCGTGCTCTCTATCTCTCATTCTCTCTCTCTCAAATAAATACAAAAATCTTTAAAAAAAAAAAAAGGTGATGTTCATTAAGGAGGACACCTGTTGTGATGAGCAACGGGTGATATATGGAAGTGTTGAATTACTATATTGTACACCTAAAACTAATATATGTTAACTAACTGGAAGTAAAATAAAAACTTAAAAAAATATATACATATTCTAAAAAAACATTGACAATAGAAGAAAATGGTAGATGATCATTTATCTGATTTCTAAACCTTAGAGGCACCCAAGCAACTAAATACTGCTAACAAACATTTTGTTAATTTTCTAAATAAGAAAATAAATAATATTTGTAAAAACTGAAGGATGAATTACAGTATTGCAGAATGTATGGGAAAACTATGATCCTCTCTGTTAACAGAAAGCAGCTGACGCTGTCATGTTCTGAGTCAGGAGAGGGTCAGATCAAAACAGGCTGTCATGGTAGTCTCAGTATGCAAGAATGATTTTCGGAGATTTGTTATTCATGGTCACAATTATTCTGAATATTTTCCATAGACATTTTTTATTTAAAGTTTTTTCTTTGTTAATTAGGTTTGTATTCCTTTCTAGTCACCAGCAAAGCTTTATAGTATCGGCACTCAAATATTCTTACAAATTTCAGTGTCTTCCTCAAGAATTACAAATTCTCCACTCTTGATATATATTATAGAAGAATATTTCAGATCACATTCAACTCCATGTAAAATGACTCATTAAATATTTTAGCTTTTATGTAATTAAGGCTCTATTATTAAGTCAAAACCCAAAATGAACAAAAGACATCAGAGACTTTTTCCTAAAACCAAAGCTAAATGGATTTCAAGTAGATTTCTTCATTCCTTTAAAATGTATTTGCCATTGCAAATAGGAAACTCAAAATCTCTCCCTTAAAGAAATATTTTCCACAAAAAAACAAAGCAGTCAGCAAATGTAAAATTATGTACTTTATAGTGAAACCTAGGTAAACCTATGTATAAAGAAATACACGTTAGGATACATTGATTTATTTTTTTTCAAATGTTAACATTTTAAATTTAACTACCACATAAAAAATTAACAAATTACCTTTTACTATTTGAGTTATCTTATCTTTCAGTCAAGAACATGCTGTTTTTTAAAAGGTCAGAGTTGGAGAGACTCTTTTCAAATAGACATAATACTGCATGCTACCTGAATTAGGAACATATTCTAGCAGAATGGGGTATAAATACTTTAATTCCTACCTGGGTAAAGAAGGGTTCATAAATCTCAACTCCTTTATCAGATCCTTGTAGTAATACCTCCTGACCACGTCTCCAGCTGTACCGAACAGGTGGATTGGAATTGGCCACACACCGGAGGAACACTGTTCTCTCATAGTAAAACTGTTCTTTAGCTTCACCTATACTTTGATGAACAGTTACTACTGGGTCATCCAAATCTAAAAAATAAAAAATGACAACAACCAAATGACACTGTTATGCGTTACATGGCTTTTACAGGTATTACACATGTAAAACCTAACCAAAGGTGCATTTTCATAATTGATTTTATTGCATATCACTAGATTCATTTTTTTAATTTAGTTTATTGAACTTGTTTAGAGAAAGTTCCAGTGATAGGCAGTAAAGACGAATAATAATGTTTCTTAAGATCTCTGCTACTTGAGATAGTACAAATGACTGCATATTTCCAACACAGCTCCATGAGAGAGATCAGAATCCAAGACCCTCCAATTCAAGAGATTAGCCAAAACAATGAAACATAGTGACAGGGAAATAAATACCAAGCAGCTCAACTGACTCCCTTAACATACTTCTTTTCCAAACATTTATAACTGATATAGTTAAAGCAATCAAAGGATTATGTTTACAAATTATTATCTTTATAGTAAGAAAATATGATCTTATACCGGGTTAAGTTTTTCCTTCATCTCAGATTTTATTTCCCAGATTATATTTGCTAATTTGAAATGTGCTAATAGAAGGTAGTGTTAAAAGGCATTAACATTTCTACTATTGGATATGGGAACTACATTTTTGCCATCTTATATGCATTCTAAAGAAGGGATATATACCATAGTGTTTAGTAAACATTTTCTGGGAAAAAAAAAACATAAATATCTTGGGCTTTGTATAAACGTGAGTTCATAGAATCTTTCTCTCAACTACCTGATCCTACCACTGTAGTGTGAAAGCAGTCAAAGACAGTAAGTAAACGCATGGATGATGGATGTTGCTGAGTCCCAGTAAAACTATTTACAAATGCAGGAGCCTCAGCCAGACTTGCTTCATGGGCAATAGTCTGCCATAGATTGCCAATCCCTGATTTACCATATTCCAGGTTCTTTCATTAAGAGAAAAAGAAATTAAGAAGTGAACTTGCCTTAAAACAACTATATTGTATATTTGAAAGTTGCTAAGAGAGTAGATCTTAAAAGTTGTCATCACAGGGAAAAAACAAACAAACCATCGTTACCCATGCATGGTGATAGATGTTAACTGAACCTATTGTGGTGATCATTTTGCAATATGTACAAATATCGAATGATTGTATTCTACACCTGAAACTAATATGTCAGTTATAGCTCAGCCAAAAAAAATAAAACAACAACAACAAGCTCTTGGTTCCATGTGCTAATATAAACTCAGTATATAGTTACTAAATGTGATTTAACATTTGCTGTATTTAAATATTAATTTCACCCAGCTTTGCCCCTTTTGGCTTTATAACTGAAAGATTACTTAAACTTTGTGGTCTTTAATTTCCTTACCGATAAAATGGGACTAATAATGGTACCATACTATTAGGGCTGTTGGAGAATTAAATGAGCTAGTCCTTAAAGCCTTAGGCACATAGCAAATGCTCAATAAAAGTTAGCTATTATTATTACTATTATCATTACTGCAGTTTCATTTAGAATTCCATTAATTCTACGTTGTTTTCTTACCTTTATCTTACCAATTCATAATGCACTCAACTCTCATTTTAAATAGATAAAAGTGTCATTTTGTCATTTGTTCAGGCTAGCAATTTTTTCTACATGACCAATACTTTCATGTGAACACTGAAGAGAAGCTGCAATATTATATAAACATAAGAATAGTGGGATGTGTGAGCAGATGCTACGCTGAATATTTAAAAGGCACTGTTCTTTAGAAAAGATTCTTTGTGATGCATTAAAATAATAAAATAATAAACAGTGAAATAATAAATAAAATAAATACAAAATAAATAAAATAATAAAAAGTGAAGTAATAGCTGCCCTAAGGAATCAAAGAACAGAATCCTTAATGTCCCAGTTTTAAAAAAGGTTTTTTCCAAATCTGAATTGCTTGATAGCCCTACTTAAATTTCTAGTTTTGCAACATTCTGAGTTTTTTTCCCCCAACATTAGAATCTTTTCACAGCTACCTCAAAGGCCTCTAATTATAGTAGTATAAATTTATAGAACAACTGTCGCTTCGTTGGTAAAGTTTAAAGAAATTTCAGTTTCAATTCATTCTATTAGCTATGCAAAGATATGTGCTATCTGGTTTTAATAGTCAGTGTATTTAGGGATACCAGCATCATTACCACGAAACATTTTAAAGGTCTTTAAAATCTATCAAATAGTCGCTTATTTGGTGATTAGTCCTTCACATACAAATCAAATCCTAAAGAAGATTGATCAGCTGAATTCAAACTCAGAGACTTGAAAAAAAAGGTATTGCAAGTTGATTGTAAGCCTTTTTTTTCTTATTCAAAACATAATTTCTTTTAGTCATAGTCTCATTTTTAGAAGATATGAGCTGTGTTCTGTTTTTTGTAAAAAAAAATTTTGTAAAAACAAAATTCTGAAGCCAGAAAGTTTAGAAACAAAACAGAATTGGATGGTGATCAATTTAACAATGATGACTCTACTTGGATTCCAAATAGTTAATATTATTGTATTTTAAAACATCCATTTACTGCTGTATACCTAGCTCTTTCCTTGTCGGGTGGTGGTCTCTGATCTATGTTAAGTTTTGGGTCACTGGCCTTCTGAGAATCCAATCCCGTGACAATGGCTTACTGAACATTGTATTGGCAGAATTATCTGTTGGATTCACCCATGTTTAGGAATTTCTACTTCACAAAGCTCCTAAATGATACCTTTTTTGGATTTAAAAACAAACATGACAAAGACAAGATATCTTCTCAAAAAGTCAAATAATGACATGTATAAAAAATATATTTTATGTATGTGTGGGTGTGTAAACACACACATATACACTTATATAGTTTACATACATATACATCACTTAAAACAGTATATATGTTTAATATAAACTCTATATAGTATTACTGAATATGTGTATTTACCATAGGTCAGTTTTCTTGGAAAAGAGACTCTAAGATAGTTATGTGTGTAGGAAGTGTATTGGGAAGTACCTTCTAGATCAACACTCCAAGTGAAAGACGGAGAGGATTGCTGAGGAGGAGAGTTGAGCTACAGCGCAGTTGCAACAAAGGTCTCCATAGCTTTAGAGAAGTCAGGGAGCTGTAATATTTCACAGAACTGTTCTGCCCTAAGGCAAGGAAACTAAGCCTTAGACACCACCCCCTCCCCCATCAACTGGTCCTTGCCTGTGTGCTATTCCTCCCTAAGGGGCATGACCTTGGGAGGGATAGCTCTGTTGGTTTAGGATAATTTCTATAGTAGGATTTAGCTGATAAGCCATTAGCTGCTCAGCAGCTAAAGGAATGAGTCCTGCGGTATGGAAGAAGGGATCTGGCTGGTGCTCTATAGCATCTGCTTAAATCCGCTTTCTAGGTAAGATAATTCACTCTATCTGGGAAAAGCTACTCCAGGATAGTTATTCACCTTTCCTTGGAAAACTGTCAAAAGAAACTGTGGTGAGATGATATTCATCAACTCTTTCTACTATTACCATTCTAAATTGCTCCCATCCTGGGCTAGTACATCTTTTGGCATAAGTAGGTCACCTAGTGAAGTTACCAGACCTTTGTCACTGAGGATTTTGAGCCCCAGGTCACCAGGTTCTTCTTAAGCCATGACTGATGCACTTATCTGTTTACCACCAAAATTGGTCAGGAGACCACCAAGAAATGATACAGTGGATCATCTGGGTATCACCATATTATATACTGTCTCACTCTGTAACAATAGTCCTACCTCCAGCTGATCATATGGGCCAGTTAACTCCCTCCAGGCTGGTGATTCCTCTTATCTCCTACTTCCTAACACAGGAAGACTCACATAAATGAGTAGCAGCCATGGCTTAAAGATTAATGGGGCTCTTGCTGTAGCACTTAATAGAAGCTTTTTCCTCTTCTGAGAACCAGGACTTCTAAACTGGCAGAGCCCAGAGTTGCAGGAAGGGAACACAGATTCCCTAAGTGGGTCACTGAATGTGATAGTGGTAAGTAGGGTCACTCCTTGGTTTTGAACCTACGTATTCTACAGAAAAAAAAAAGCGTTATATAATAATGGTCATTGATTTAGAATGCACACTGTACGTCGGAGCATAGCACTCCTTCCTTACCAGCCATTATCCTTCTGAAACTCAGTTGCCCCCTCCAAAAGCCATTCAATCACTCTAGTAAGTTGGCATTTTTAGGTGATAAAGAATATATGACCAGAGAATCCCCTGGCATTGTTCCCAATACTCTCTCTTCACTGCTGCAAAGTGTGCTTCTCATTCCATGAGTGGTTAAGATGGGATCATGTGTTAAGAATAAACCATTCTCAAAGCCCTTGGATAGGGCTGCTGCTGACTCAGGTTAGCATAAACATCCATACCCAGAATACATGTCATATTCAGTTAAAATGATGCACTATCATTTTCAGGGGGAAAAAGGTCTAACTAATATAACCAACTTGCTACCAAGGGACTGGTTGGAATTTTGAAGGATAGTACTTTTACGGTGTCAAGTGTTGGTCTCTGTTGCTGCCAGGTTAGATATTCAATGGTGGTGGTAGATACATCAACCTTCATGGGAAAGGACCCATGGTTCCAGTTTATGCATAACCTCCATCCCTACCATTATGACAATTCTATTCATGAGCCTGTTGTGCTATTTATGAGTAGCTAGGGACAAAGCTGGTTGTTATCAACTGCTTGCGCTACTCTGTCTACTTCATTGTTTTGTGCTTCTGTGGTGGGTATTTTTTGGTCCTCGATAATAGGTACTCCCATAGGTCCATCAACATACTCGAACAGATCTCTTTTCACATGAAGTGGTTGACCAGGAACACCACCCAAACCAAAGTTCTGGCCTGTGAAAAGATGTTTCCTCATTCCTCTCAGGGACATCTCACAATGGGGCTCTAGTGAAGTAGCAGTCCAGTTTTTGGCTTGCATACATATACCGAGCTGAACCATCATAAAAGAAGCTTAGCCTTTTTTCTTCACCATCAACTTATAAGTGATCCACTCTGTGGCCAGCTATGACCTG